TACGCGTGGGGAGGTATTCTCGAGGTCCCAGGGGGTGCCAACGTGGAATGCCGGGATCTGTGGAGGGAGGCGGAAAGAGAAAAGCCTATAGTGGTTAAGGAGGCCATGGCCCTGTTGCGCACCCTTGAGTCGGGGAAGAGCCTGCTTWCCAATTGACGGCTAGATGTTCACGTGGACTCTAGTACCCTAGTGCATTCGTGGCAAAGACAAGGAGGCGCCAACAAAGATCTTAATGACACCCTCAAAGCAATCCACAGCATATGTTTGATGYAAAATATCTGCAATCGCTGTTCGGCCCTCACTCAATCGACTTAATGGCATTAGACACGAACGCCCAGACAGACACTAGGGGTCGACCCTTGAGACATTTTACACCTCACGCGTGTCCGGGGTCAGCGAGGATCAATATGTTTGCACATACCATATCAAGTGATGAGAACGCATATGTGTTTCCGCCGTTTGTCCTGATGGCCGTTTTCCGGTTACGGTGGTGGTTCCACGGCTCAGCCCACTGCCATATTGGTGGCCAATCATCGAGGGGTCGGCGCAGGAGAAAGTAATTGTTGGGCGCAAAGGTGAGCATGATATTTTGCTTTTTCCCTCCACTCACGAATGTTTTATTTCCCGGCCTTTGCAATGGGATTTGTTAGGGCATTTCGATTGGTTCCTAAATCAATTCCTGTTTSTCCAGGTCCAGCGGCCAAGGATCTGGAAGCCAGCGGCACCGTGCCCTGAATGTTCGTATCTAAATGACTATGACTTCAATTTCTGCCAACATTGTGGTCTCCGTAAAGAAAGCATAGATGGCGCTCCGAGAAGCCCGGGGATGAGGATCGAYACGGAGGTTATCTCTGCTAGAATCCATGATTTGGAAAGTAAAAAATCACAAAAAAAGTTATGAACGTCAAAAGTCGGCACTCCATAAGCAATTGGTCGGCTTCCTCGCATCCTTGCCGACTCCAAAGTCTCTAGCTTCAGCATCGCCATATGACTTGCGTATGTTCCTGATTTGGAAGGACAACARTGGGAAAACGATCGTACACCGCCCTGATTGCAACGAACTGGGTAAAAMCAAGTCGGTATCTTGCGATTGCCCCACCCGTTTGTCCGCTGGAACTGTGGACAGTTTAATCGGAAAATTGAGAGCCATCTTTAACCAAGAAGGTCTAGGAGGTGAATGGGATGATCGACTAGGCATTGGGAACCCGCTATCGCACAAGGTCATTAAGGACTATCTGAAGAGTATCCGAGAAGAGCAAGCCCAGTCAGGAGTACGGCCAAACAAAGCTATTCCCCTGTTTGAGGACAAATTGCGTAGGCTCTTGTTCGTCCTTCACTGGCGAAGATGACCATTCATCTCTGCGATGTATGTCGTCTAGGTTTGTGTGTTGTGTGTGCGTAGGTGGCTGACCAGACCGATTCGACCACACTCGGGACAGACTGGACCTGTTGGAACTGTAACCGAAGCTGCTCGTGTCTTTCGAAGGTGTCGTTTGTGCTTTGCTTGGTTTACACGCTTGTCCTCGCATAGCTTGGCCCCTTTCTTGACTACTGTGCGCCAGTGAGTTCTGTCATCTGCAAGCTCTTCCCAGTTGTCTGGATCTATTCCAAATTGCTTTGCAGAGACTTTTAGGGTGTCTTTGTAGCGCTTTTTCTGACCGCCTTTGCTGCGAGTGCCATATTGGAGTTCACCATAGAGGAGTTGTTTTGGGATGCGTGT